GCCATTCTGACTAGTATAAGATGGTATGGCATTGTGGCTTTAATTTTCACTTATCTGATATTTAATTATGTTAAGCATTTTCATATGTTTGCCAATTGTATGTATTTTATGAAAAAAAAGTCTGTTCATACCCTATGCCTACTTTTTAATGGGGTTATTCTTGTTTTACTTGTTGAGTTGTTTGAGTTCTTTGTAGGGTCTGAATATTAGCTGTTTGTCAGATACACGGTTGGCAAATCTTTTCTCCCATTCTGCAGGTTGTTTGTTTACTGAGAATTATTTCTTTTGCTGTGCAGAAGCTTTTTGGTTTTATTAAGTCCCACTTCTCTGTTTTGGTTTTTGTTGTACTTTATTTTGAGGACTTCATCATAAATTCTTTGCCTAGACCAATATTTAGAAGAGTTTTTCCTAGGTTGTCTTCTAAGATGTTTACAGTTTCAGTTCTTACATTTCAGTCTTTAATCCTCCTTGAGTTAATTTTTGTGTGTGATGGAAGGTAAGAAGCCAGTTTCATAAATCTACATATGGCTCCCCATTTATCCCAGCACTGTTTATTGAATAGAATGTGATTTCCCTTTATATAATTTTGTCAACTTTGTCAGAGATCGGTTGATTGTAGCTATGTGGCTTTATTTTTTGGTATGTGTCTATTTCTATAACATGACCATGCTGTTTTCGTTACTACAGCCTTGCAATATAATGTGATCTTTCCAATTTTATTCTCTTTGCTTAGCATTACTTTGGGTATTTAGGATCATTTTTTGGTTACATGTGAATTTTAGGATTTTTTTTTCTAAGTGTATGAAGAATGACATTGGTAGTTTGATAGTAATTTAATTGAATCTGTAGATAGCTTGGGCAGTATAGTCATTTTAATGATATTGATTTTCCCAATCTATAAGCATGGAATTTTTAAAATGTATTTGTGCCATCTATTATTTCTTTCTTCAGTGTTTTGTAGTTCTCTTTGTAGAGATCTTTCGCCTCCTTGGTTAAATGTATTTCTAGTTATTTTATTACTTTTTGTAGCTATTATGAAATGGATTGAGTTCTTGATTTGGTTCTCAGTTTGTTCATTATTGTTATGTAGAAATGCTACTGATTTTTATACATTAATTTTGTATCCTGAAACTTTCATGAAGAAATTTATCAAATCGAAGAGTCTTTTTAGGGAATCTTTAGGGTTTTCTAGGTATAAAATCATATCACAAAAAACAAAACCAGAAAATTTGACTTCGTCTTTTACAATTTGGATTACTTTCTTTCTTTCTTCTGCCTGATTGCTCTAGCTAGAACTTCCAGTAGTATGTTGAATAGGAGTAGTCATAGTGGGTATCTTTGCCTTGTTCCTATTCTTAGGGAAAATGCTTTCAACTTTTCTTCATTCTGAATGATATTGCCTTTGGGTTTGTCATATATGGCATTTATTGTTTTGAAGTGTGTTCCTTCTATGCCTAGTTTGGTAAGGGTCTTTATTATGAAGAGATGCTGGATTTTGTTGAATGCCTTTTTCTGAATCTTTTGATATGATCACACGGTTTTTGTTTTTAATTCTGTTTCTGTGGTGAATCCTATTTTTTGATTTGTGTATGTTGAATCAATCTTGCATCTCTGGAATAAAACCCACTCAATCTTGGTGTATTATGTCTTTGATATGCTGTTGGATTTTGTGTGGTAGCATTTTGTTGAGGATTTTTGCTTCTATGTTTATTAGAGATATTGGTTTGTAGTTTTTTGTTGTTGTTGTTTTTGGTCGTGTCCTTATCTATATTTGGTATCATTGCAATGCTGGCTGCATAGGATAAATTAGAGAAGATTCCCTTTTTGGAACAGTTTCAGTAAGATTGACATCAGTTCTGTCCTGTACATCTGACAGAGTTTGGCCATGACCTCATCTGGTCCTAGGCTTTTTTGTTGCTGGGAGTTTTTTTTTTTCTTAGTAATTCAATTTTTTTACTCATTATTGGTCTGTTCAAAATTTCTATTTCCTCCTGGTTGAAACTTAGGGGGTTGTATATTTCCAGAAATCCATCTATTTCTTCTAGATTTTCTCATTTGATCACTATAGATGCTCAGAGTAGTCTTTGATAATCTTTCATATTTCTGTTGTATCTGTTGTACCTTTATCACTTTTGCTTGCACTTGTTTGAATCTTCTCTTTTTTTGTTGGTTAATCTAGCTAGTGGTCTATTGATTTTGCTGCTCTTTTCAAACAACCGACCTAATTTCATTGATTTTTTTTTCTTTTCTTTTTTTTTGGTCTCAATTTCATTTAGTCCTTTTCTGATCATTATTGTTTTTTCTTTTACTAGCCTTGGGTGTGGTTTGTCCTTTTTTCTCAAGTTTCTTGAGGTATAACCTTAAGTTACTTATTTGAGATCTTTCTATCTTTTTCATGTAGGCAGTTAATGTTATAAACTTCCCTTCCCTCTTAGCACTGATTTGGTTGTTTTTTAGACATTTTTGAAAGCTATATCTTTATTTTTATTCACTTACAATTTTTTTTTGATGTCGATCTTAATTTCGTCATTGACCCAACAGTCATTCAGAATCAGGTCATTTAATTTTCATGTATTTGTATAGTTTTGAGTATTCCTCTTAGTGTTGATCTGTATTTTTATTTCACTGTGGTTCAAGAAGGCACTTGATATGATTTCAAATTTTTTACATTTATTGAGATTTTCCTTGTGGCCTAGCATATGATAAATTTTTGAGAATGTTTTATACATACATGAGAAGATTGTATATTCTGAGGTTATAGGGTAGAATAGTCTGTAAATATCTGTTAGGTCCATTTGCTCTAGAGTTCAACTTAACTCCAGAATTTTTTTTTTGTTGTTGATTTTCCGTCTCAATAAACTGTCTAGTTCTGTCAGTGGGAAACTGAAGTCCCCTACTAATATTGTATTAGTATCTGTCTCTTTTTTAGGTGTAGTAGTATTTGTTTTATGAATCTAGGTGTTCCAAATGTATTTGGAATTGTTATATCTTCTCAAATAAATTTCTTTATCATTATATAATTACCTTCTCTGTCTCATTTATAGATGTTTCTATATGTTTTACTTTTTCTTCTCTCTCTAGAATACCTATGACTCTTAGTTTTATATGATTTTTATATGGTCCCAAATTTCTTGAAATCTTTAATCATTTTTTTCCCTTTGTTTTTGTCTGACTGGGTTAATTTGAAAGACCTACTTTCCATCTCTGAAATAATTTCTTCTGCTTTGGTCAAGCCTACTATTGACGCTTTTAGCTGGATTTTTTTTTATTTCACCAATACATTTTTTTATTCTAGTAGTTGTATGGGTTTTTAAAAATCTATCCTTTTTTCATATCTTGAATTGTATTTCTGATTCATGTTGGTTTTCAACTTTCTCTTGGATTATATTGTGCTTTTAAAAATCAGTATTTTAAATTCTTTATCAGGTATTTCAAAAAAATTATTTTCACGAAGACCCATTGAAGGATTTAGTGTGGTCCTTTTGAGGTATTTTTACACTCCGCTTTTTCATACTTTTGGAATTTGTTCTCTGGTTCCTTCTCATCTGCAAAAGCTATCTCTGTTTCTAATTTTTAAATTTACTTTCATTTGGAAGGGATGTTTTTGTTTTTTCCTTTTCTTCCTTGAGAATGTGTGTAATGTGTGCTGTGTAGGGTTCAACTTTGGTTCCGGGAGCTTTCACTGTCAAAGGTTCTGTGTATGCTCCTTGGTTATACAGAGTCTTTGTATGGTGACTTTCTTAGATGTTGGTTGTAGTAGTGGTGTAGGGATGAGTGACTGGGTTCATTGCCTCCTACAAGTCCAGTATGACTGAGGTCTCAGGAAGTTTATCTCATTCTCCAGTGCTACACATTTCTGTCAGCAGATTTTCTATTAGATTGTGTCATTTATTTTCGAAGCCAGTGGGTGGTGCTTATGGATAAGAACCAGCTAAGGCTGATGCAGATGGGGCATATACTTGATCTTTGTTTATGGAGAGATGCTTTCTGCTGCCTCAGACAATGGGCTGTGTTGCGGAATGCACAGTGGTGTGAGCTCCCTGTACAGTCCTGGACTGAGGGACCAAGCTGGCGGGGGCCAGAGAATGCAGACATGCCTACATGTCCACCAGTGGTAGGCTCAAGCACTAGCTCTGAGGGCAGATAAAGAGGCAGCTGCAAACATCCAGAGATGTGCCTGGGTATGGAGGGGATAATCCTCTGCTGCCCAGTGTTCTCTGCCTGGAAAGGGAGGGGTAAGTGCTACCCTCCCAATCTAGAAAAGGTGAGTACTCCGCATGCCTGAAGATATGTCCAGGCATGGAGCACAGTGGGTGCTGCTGTATCAAGACCTATGCACCTGAAGGGAGGGGTGGCTGAGGCTCCTAATCCAGGTGAGAAGGTTCTCCAAATGCCTGAGAATATGCACAGCATGGAGTGGAGAGGGTGCTGCTGCACCAAGATGTCTGCATGAGAAGGGAGGGGCAGCTCAGGTTCCTATTCCAGGTAAGTGGGTACTCAACATGCCTGGAAATATTCCCGAGCATGACAGAGAGGGCACTACTGTACCAAGATTTCTGCACAGGACAAGAGAAGTGATTCAGGGTTCCAGTGCAGTAGAGCAGGTGTGCTGAATGCTTGGAACTATGCCCTGGAGTGGAGTAGAAAAGTACAGATGCACCAAGATCTCCGCATTAGAAGGGAAAGGCAACAGGTGAGGGGGTGCACTGAATTCTTGAAATTATGCCTGGTTGTGGAGTGAAGAGGGTGCTTCTGCACCAAGATGTCTGCACAAGAATGGAGTGGTGACCCAGGATCTTAATCTAGGTGAGCAGATGGGCCAAATGCCTGGAAATATGTCCCTCAGTGAGGAACAAAATATTTGCAGCAGAGTGGAGAAATGGCTGTTGCAACAAGGTCTTTCAACAAGTGTTGAATGCTGGGAAATATGCCCAGGCTTGGACCTGGGGGCGGGGGTTGTTGCTTTGCCAAGTTATTTGCAAGATAAGGGAGCCGTGGCCCACACTCCCAATTCAGACCAGCAGCTCAAAACTGGTGGGACACACCTCCCAACTGACAAAGGGGGCAGGCTGGGACACCCAGAAATGACACCCACAGGCAAGTCCAAGTCTGCAAAGCTATTCCTGGTCATAGTTCCTATCACTCAGGAAAAATTGTGGCTTCAGCAACTCTCTTCGGTATGGATTTCTATTTTTATTTTGTTTTGTCTTCTTGGTATTGATTTCTATTTTTATTCTACTGTGGTCTGAGAGTACAGTTAGTATGGTTTTATTTTTTTTAAATTTATTGAGACCTGCTTAATGGCAGAGCATGTAGTCTGTCTTAGAGGATGCTCTGTGGGCCCATGAGAAGAATGTATGTTCTGTGGTTGATGAGTGGAGTATTCTGTAAATGTCTATTAGGTCCAACTGGTCAAGTGTCAAATTTAAATCCAGAATTTCTTTGTTAGTTTTCTACCTTGACGATCTATCTAATACTGCCAGTGGGATGTTGACGTACCCCATTATTATTCTGTGGCTAATTATTATTGTAGGCCTGGGCATAGTTGTTTATGAATCTGGGAGCTGCAATGTTGGGTGCCTATATGTTTAAGAATAATTAAGTCTTCTTATTTAATTGAACCCTTTGTCATCACGTAATGCCCTTCTTTGTCCTCTTTAAATTGCTGTTTTGGGTTTAAAGTCTGTTTCATCTGATGTAAAAATAGCAACCCTCTCCCTTTTTTGTTTTCTATTTGCGTGATAGATCTGCCTACAATCCTTTATGTTGAGACCATGGGTGTCCTTACGTGTGAAATGGATCTTTTGAAGACAGTAGATGGATGGGTCTGGGTTTTTAAATACAACTTGTAATCTGTGTCTTTTAAGTGGGGTATTTAGACTCTTTATAGTCAAGGTTAATTTTTGTTTGTTTGTTTGTTTGTTTGAGACAGAGTGTCGCTCTATCACCCAGGATGGAGTGCAGTGGCATGATCTCAGCTCAATGCAACATCTGCCTCCTGGATTTAAGTGTTTCTTCTGCCTCAGCCTCCTGAGTAGCTGGTATTACAGGTGCACAGCACCATGCCCAGCTAAATTTTTATATTTTTAATTGAGATGGGGTTTCACCACGCTGACCAGACTGGTCTCGAACTCCTGACCTCATGATCCATCTGCCTTGGCCTCCCAAAGTGCTGGGATTACAGGCTTGAGCCACTGTGCCTTATTCAAGGTTAATATTTGTATGTGAGTTTTTGATCCTATCATGAAGTTGGCAGCTAGTTTCTTTGTAGTATGTATTGTGTGGTTGCTATATAGCATCTCTGAGCTATGTTTAACTGTATTTTTGTAACAGTAGGTATTGTTCTCTTATTTCCATGTTTAGAACTCCCTTAAGCATCTCTTAAGACTGGTATAGTGGTAACAAATTTTCTCCATAACTGCTTGTCTGGAAAATTTTTTTTTTCTTCTTTGCTTATGAAGCTTAGTTTGATGGGATAGGGCATACTTGGTTGGAATCTATTGTCTTTAAGAATGCTGAAAATAGGTTATCCTCATGAAAATGTACTCACTAATATGATATGTACAATAGTGCACCATGCAGTTTGTTTTTATTTTATGTTATTTTGTTTTTAATTTTACCCAAGTGAGACCCAAGTTGTTTTATTTTTTATGGGAATTTAATGAGATAGAATTTCTTGATTTTCCACATTTGGAGGGTGCAGACCTGTGTAGTGGAACTACCCACAGCAAGGATATATGCCTGTTAGGTGGCACAGACCCGAGACCCGATGGATCAGACTTGGCCTTCATCCTCCTCTTGTCCTGATAAAATCTCACAGCTCCAGACAACACAGACACAAAACATTGATCGACAGTAAGATGGCTTGAAGAAATGCTTCTTTCAGGACAAATTCTTTCTGTGCATTCCATGAGGTAATCAATATAGTATATAGCTACACATTTGCACCATTTTGAAGCCCACTACAACAGCCAGAGTTTTAAAATGCTGTGTTTAGTGAGCATTGTCAATAGAGTCTTTAAGTTCATCAATCTTAAGTCAAGAAAAGTTAGAAAGTACTAAAATCTTAGCACTCACATGAAAGAAAACTGGAAGCTTTTCCAAATTAGACAACAATCAGACAAATTTGCATAATATTACCAATCTGAGTTTTGAAGCAGAAAGAAAATGTTATAAACCATGATTTTCACAAGTAGGATTGATTGTAATATCTCATAATTTTGGATGATTATAGTATTTATCAGAATTTTAAAGTGATCAAACTTAGTGGAAAGACTGGTTTATGCTTCTGCTATATTTACAGAAAATTCTATTATAAAATCAATGTCATGTGATGAAGCAAATAGTGACTCAATAGTTGAGTATGAAAACGTAGAATTAACTTTTTACACTGTTGTGTCAAGTAGTTAATTAATAAAAATGTTACGTTAGCAAGTAAAAAGAACACAAATTAAGGAAGGGCAAATCTGCCCCTCCATCTGCAGGGTGGATGGATGGACTGACGGGGTCAAAGCCAGTGACATCATGAGCAGGAAACCATGTTTCTCTCAAGCTGCAGGTTTGAAATGTCAAACAGCCTCTTCCTTGGCTGACGGCTGCTTTCTGACTCAATGGAAGACCTTGTTCTCTAGCGTCAGGGCTGTCGGAATCTTTGCTTATGAGTGAGAAGAACATCCCACTGCCTGGAGGATCTGGGTCCATCTTTACACAGAAGCACAGAACTACAGAGAAGGGGTTTCTGGATGGAACGTTCCACACCTGGCTGGACTTTATGGGTTCTAAGGACACAGGACCTAGGTCCACTTTTCAGACCAGACTTGACACTGGCTGCTTTACACGAAGGCCTGCCATACTCTGAGTCCATCACTACAGCCTCAAAAATCCCTCCCCACAGTCTTATAATAAGCTCTTTCTGTTGTTTTTTGAGTCATCACAGGTTTCTTGGTGTGAATTTATTCCCTTTTTGCTACAAGCCAATAATCCTGAGTCTGTTGACTGCAAAATCTGTTTTGGTGACTGATCGCACTAGGATGTATATTATTTTTCTGAAATTTGGGATGATTGTAGTATTTATCAGGACTTTAAAATGAATAATTTGTTGTGACTTATTTCCTCTTCTTAAATAAACACTAACTTTTGTGCTTAGTTTCTAATTGGCTATATTATGCCATTTTTCATGCAGATAACCCTCTGTATTATGGAAGCCTTAGACCTCACGGAACCTGGGTTGCCTGTGGTCACAGTGCTGAGAATCCACCTCCCCAAGGAGTGACTGCACTGGTTCCTGCTTCCCAGGCCTCCAATGGACTTATCCCTCCTTCCAGAGTGATTTGTCTATGCTGAAGGCGGAGTTTCTAACCTCAGCGGTTTTAGTCTTTTAGCAAGAATTTGTGACATTATTTTTGCTAAAGGAACTTTTAGAAGGGGTGCAATATTTCCAAAACATGACCCTCAGGAGCCTCCTTTACTCCAAAAACCCAGGAGTTTCCGGAAAGGGCCCAGACCCTCAGCTTGTTCCAGAAGACAAAGACCCACATGCTCACCTTCAAGCCTCCCTGCCCCCTGCTCCCCCCCTGGGGAACAGACACACAGGGAGATGGTGGAGGGAGCCTTCTACAGAGCCCGACTTCCCCCTCCACTTCCCCAGGAAGAGAGATGTCAGAAAAGTTACGGGTTTACACGAAATCACCTGTTCCTTGTGTCCTTGGATGGTGGTTGCTTATGTCAAGACAGACCCTTCACCAGGTAGAGAACCATGAGGATCTCCATGCAGGGAAGACTTCCCCCCTGACCACCATTCCTGGGCACCCGCTGCTCTGCTGTCAGCTCCTCTCTTCCAACAGAAGCCTGAATCAGTGTGTGTGCACCCCCCACCCCCCCCGACACCGGGTGAGGCCCAGACTCAAATCTCCACAGCTCACGACCTCCTGGGCGCTGCTGCACCTTCTTCAACCCCAAACCTTGGTTAACTCCTGTGGGAGTGGAGAGGAAATGAAGCAGATGCTCCCCACTCTCCCTGCCAGACCATCCTCCTCCTGGCTTTCTATGTGCGGCACATGGGGTGTGGGCCTCAGGGCTGTTTGGGCAGTTTCCCCTTTGTCATTTCTCCCTCAGTGTTCATGGCAGCCACCCTTGGTCAATGCAGCTCTAGGCACCGAAGACAGTTGAGAGCCCTTCCCCAGAGGCACCTGCCCCAAGGGCTGCACCCCTCTGCCCAGAAATAGCAAAGGGAAGGGCCGTGCAGGGTGGGCTAGGTCTTAGGACTGTAGCCTCTTCTTTGGAGCTCAACTAACCACTTTTCTGAAGAATGGTTTTGACACTAAGGTGATGTTATTTATTAATTAAAACATCCTTTTTGAAAAAAACGAGTGTCCACTGCATGTCATTTCCATTCGTGTTTTAACTTCTCCATCCCTACGAAGAAGGTTGACCTGAGTACTTGTTTTAAATCCAAGTCCAAAGAAAGGGCGGCTGGATGTGAACATGTAAAACTCTTCTAGGGCACAGCTTCCTAGCCTAGGACACAACCTCCCAGCCTGGGGCACACCCTCCCAGGATGGATGACAGCAGATACTGCTTTCTCTGGGTGATATGCCCGTCTTTCATCTGGTTGGCATTTTTCCCAATCAATTATACACACACACACACACACACACACACACACACACACACACACTTTTGGGCTTTGTTTCCATGTAGGGGTCTAAAGTCTCTTGTGGAAAGAACCACACGTCCATTGCTATCTAGTTAGCGTCTAGGGGATTTGATGAGAGCAGCTCAGTCCCTGGAGTCTGCTCAACTCTGCAAGCACAGATGGAATCTATGGCCTGGCAAGCTCCACTGAGGCCTGGCCCCTGCCTGAGGACACAGCCAGCCCCCTCCTCTTGCTCCGACCAGGAGCTCAGACCACAGCAGCAGCCCAGCTTCCTGGGCCAGCTGCCTGGGCCCCCTCCTCTCCCTGGCGCCCTCACCAGGGGCTGCTGCAGCTGCAGCCCTGGGTTCCCAGTCCCTGGCTGCTCTCTCCCTGTTCTGAAGCTCAGGTCTCCGAAAGTGGCAGCAGCTCCCATGACAGCCTTGCTGTGGCTGCGTCAGCTCCCAGGTACTCCTCTGATCTCCACACCAGCAGAACAAGGAGGCTTCATAAAGGAACTGCAGAACCCCTGCCTGTGTGCACATCCCCCAGACATTCAAGAACTCAGAGGGAGCCGATGCTACTGTTTTATTGCAGGAGGTGGGGTTGTGTGTAGCATGTACCAGGGCTACCAGAAGCAAGAAGGAAGGAGGGAGGGCGGAGCCCCCTGCTGAGCAACAAAGGCCTCCTGCTCCCTTCTATGTCTGTCTCCTGGCGCAGGCGCATGGGGAGACCGCCCCCAAGGTGGAGGCCACCAGTCCAGGGGTGGGAGCACTACAGGGGGTGGGAGTAGGAGGCGGTTGGTGTGACTGGCCAGGCACAGATCCCTAGGCTTCTTGACACCTAGAATTCACCAGGGACATTCTGTCCTCCCAGGGAACTTCATAGATCTGGAAAGAGCACAGCTGTTTCTGTGAAAGGGAAGAGAGGAGGCCAATCAGTGTGAGTTACAGTTAAAGGGGAAGACGCTCAGGCATGAGATGTCAGAGCCTGGGTGAGGAGGATGGAGGTGAGACACTGGGTCCACACCCACCCCTGCTGAGTCCCAGAGTACCGAACTAGAATGAATAGTGACTGTTCCATTGCCCCTCCCAAAGCTCCAAGTCACCAGGTGGCATTGGGCCCTCACCCCAGCCTGCAGGGTTTCTGTCCCAGCACAGCCCTTTGAGGAGCAGCCCGTGCAAGGCCTCCGGAGCCCCAAGGGTGCAGGGCAGGGGGTGGTGACTCGATTCCCCCAGCTCCTTCCACCTCCAGCATCCAGGCCAGCACTAAGAGGGGCCAGAGGGAAGAGCCCAGGGCAGGGCAACTCCCCCTCAAAGATCTGAGGCTGGGGCAAGGGTGACAAGGGGAGTGCGGCTCTCCCCTGAGTGGAGACTTCACAAGAACCAGCAGGTCCTTGGAGAGGCTGGTGTTGGGTGAGCGGGGCAGGTCCAGGGCTACGCAGCTAACAGGCCTCTAGGTCCCACTAATCTGCTTAGTGTTGCTGTGGCTGCGGGCAAGTGCCTGAGGCTGGGATTATACAGAGCCCCTTCTCCCTGCCCAGCACCCAGCCCAGCAGCTGCTTATTCCTGTTTGACAGGCAACACCCCAGAGAAGGCAGAGTTGACCTCTCAGTAACCATGCCCAAGCTAAAGCCTTCCCAGCAAATCAAATACATCACCCCCCCTCCCTCACCACCCCATCTACACACACATAGGCAACTATGTAAACTCACTTGGACCCCTCATCCTCATGGATCTATGTACAAACCCCCATACTGCTCCCACGCATCCACACAGGGTCACACATCTCCCTTAAACCTCCCTGCACACACTGACACATGTGTGTACACATGTGCACCTTTCCTCATGCACACCTGCATGCACACACCCCCAAGTACATGAACATGTACACTTCCATGCATACATGGCTCCCCACATGCCCACCTGTACATACACACACCCTCCAAATATGGGTAGGGCAGAGGCTGACACATACGCACTCCTCTGCAGTGCATGACTGGCCCGGGACCCGCATCAGGAACGTACCTTCTGCAGTTCTGGCTGTTCATGGAAGGCGCAGGTGTCCAAGTTGGGCTGGGACTTGGTACATGTGGTTCGGCCCAACTCTACATCAAGGAAGTAATTCATTCCGGCCATGACCTACACACATGAGAAAACAGGACGCACGGACAGTGCTCCCCATCAGTTTCATGCACACACAGCACTTCACTGTGGCTGAGTCACTGGACTTGCTTGGGGCTTCGTGAGCTGCCCATATGTCACCACAAGGCACACAAGTCCCCTCTTCCTGTCAGCTGGCAGTGTGCTGGGCCTCATGCCTGCTCTTAAACATTGTTTTCTCTGTGCTGGGTAAAAGGATTCACTGAATTCTGCTACCTGGGGCTCAGGGGCAAAGGAACACTGAATCTTTTCTAGGAAGGCTGTCATCTGATGACAACATTTCAGCTAACTTCAGAAAATCTCATTCCCTCCATTTAACCTAGATTTATTCCTTCATTTAATAGTAGGAAATGAGGTGCTTCACACACAGAGATGCATTGGGTCAATGGGGCCTCCCGGATGCCACCATTTTAGGTGTGAGTTTCGAGCTACTTTTCTAAAGTCAGCAGCACACCTGCGTGTCTTACAATTGCAGACTAGAATTGAACCCTTTCCCTGCACGGGGTCTGTCCCAGACACAACGTGGCAGAGCTGTGGAGAAACCTGGGATGAGGGACTCTGAGACCAGGGTGCTAGACATTGCCGCTTGGAACCAGGAGGAACTGCTGAGATCCCTCGAGTATCAGTTTATCCATATATAAAAGAGGCTTCCGGGCCGGATGGTCTGCGATGCCCTGTGCTTCACTCCAAGTTATTGTCATGCTTGAAAGGGAGGTGCAGGCCAGCGGGGACCACTGTACCACGGAGTGCACCTTGTGTGCAGGGTGAGGGCCCCAGGTGACAGCTGCAGGAGAAGGGGGCTGGTCTGGATTCCTTTGAATTTCCAAGAGAAGATGGAGGAGCTCCAAAGCCTGTGTCACTATTTGCTGCTCTGCCATGGGATGCACGTCAAGCTGGGCCCAGTAGCCCTTCGAAGCTCCCTCCTGACCTGACCCCATCCAATGCTCTGCTGGGTGACTGGTGTCCTCATCTGGCTGAGGTCTAACTCTGCATCAGCTCGTAGAGGCAGGTTCAGGCATGCTCCACCCCAGCAGGGACTCAGCTGCCCTGGGCTGTAGCGGGTGGCCAGCCAAACCGAGGGTGAAGGCTGCTAGCCCTAAGGGGTTGTGCCCAGGGCCGTGACTTAGGGAGGGAAGCAGGGCTCTGCAGAACAGGGAGCCAGGTTCCCATGTGGCCCCTGCCAACAGGACTCAGGGAAAAGGATAAGTCTCCTGGCCTGGGTCTCATCCTGAGCAGCATCAAGCCCACCCAGAGTCAGCACAGTCTCCACCCACATCTGCTGGACCCTGGCAAATGGCACGGTCGTGTCACAGACACAGCAGCTCCTGCAGGTTAAAGGAGGCTGAGGGGACAGACAGTGGCTGCAGGGCATAGCCCGGGAGCACCCTTAGGCCTGAAGGCCATCAGGGGAGAGTCAGGGAAAGCTGAAAGAGTCTGAGCACTAGATCATGAATGTGTCAATGTTGATTTGCTGGGAATGCTCTTGGGAGTTGCATGACAAACCAGGCTGGAACTCAGGACCTCTCGGGCGGTGGCAGCACCCACCTGCTCTCTGGCTCGCAGCACCCGCAGTGGGCGTCTGTAGTACTCATCTTCGGTGGCCTTGTTGTACTCGCTGATGGCGAAATGAAGGGCATGCTGTACTTCATCATCATTGAGGTCTGCGTCATAGATGCCACCTGGGATCACCCTATCCTCCTCCTCGGGGCTCCAGGCCTGGGACCCAGCCAGGGCGGCCAGCAGGAGCAGCAGGGTGCACAGGGGCTGGGCCATGGGCTCCTTAGAGGCAGAGCACAGAGCTGGAGCTGCAGGAGAGGTGAGAGCCTGAGGTGGTGAGCCCAGACCAGCAGGCAGCTGTGCATTTATCCTGCTTTGGCAGGCCAGCCCCACCCCCTCCATGCCACGCCCCTGACTCCTCCTCCTCTTTCTGCCCATCCCCTGTTTCTCCATCTCTCTTTTCACTCCCCCACCACCACAAGCTCCCACCCTGCCTAAGTTCCCCCGGCCCCTCCCAGGCCTCCTCCTCCGTATCTCCCTCCTCCCCACTCCTGTCCTCACTATAGCCTCCCGGAGCCATACCTCTCTTCCCCTGGTGCTCCCAAGCTTGAGTCACTGGCGTCTCCACAGAGGTGACACTGCTCCTTTAACACTGCTCTATGAAAGCAATGTGACCTCCTGTTTATTCAGAAAAGGGAAAAATACAGGGTTTGGCCTTCGGGGTCTTCAGATATCGGGGGCATCCAGGAGCCCTTGGTCACAGTCTCTGAATCTCTGGAGCAGGGAGGTTATTTCAGAAGGTTCCAGAAGACCCTGTCCACACCCTACTATGGAGAATTTCTTTGCCAAATGTAAGGGAATTAACCTGTTTGGAAAAGGTCACTGGGTTCTCTTTTCATAACTCATTATTCAGTAAACCAACCTGTCACCAGTTACTCCCTGTGCCAGGAGGTCTAGGAGTTGAAGACGGAACCTGGATGATGAGCCATAGAGGTGACGCTGCAGAGCTGCTGCCCAACAGAGATGTGACATGAACCCAGGAGCAACTGAAAATTTCTCGTAGATGCATTTTAAA